CCGGCACTCACCAGCCCGAGAGGCTTCTGTGCTCACCCACCGAGGCGGGTGGGGCTTCGAGCTGAGGCTCGGTTTCGGTTTCGGTCGGAGCTCAGGGAGAGGACTGGGGGTGGCGACTTGAACATAGCCCGAAGGGGTTAGTGCGCCACGGCTAGCCGGGAGGGAGTCCGGGGAAAAGGCTGCACCTGCCGAGGAGGCAAGAGACTTTTTCTTTCCTCTTTGTTTCCTGGTGCGCGAGGAGAGGGAATTCAGAGCGCTGCCTAAAGGAACTCCAGAAACGGGTGCGAGCCGGGGCTAAAAGCTTGGAAACCAGAGACTGGCGCGAGCCGCGGCTAAAAGCTCGGAAACCAGAGACGGGCACGAGCCGCGGCTGAAAGCGCGGACTCCAGAGACGGGCGGGAGACGCTAAGGGTGCTGCTGCCGCCACCAAGGGGCCTGTCTGCGAGCATAGGCGACTATGCCCACCCCTCTTCCGGGGAGCCTGTGCAGCCCGCCACTGCCAGGTTCGCGGGACCCAGGGCCAATTTCTCAGGGAGAACACACGGCGGGCCTCAGGCTGGTCGAACGTCACGCCGACTTCTGCCGCCGCAAGCCCGCCCCGCACTCCATGCCCCTCCCTCCCCCCCGGCCTGAGTGCGCCAGAGCCCCCGAGTCAGCGGCTCCTTTAACCCCGTCCTGTCTGAGCAAAAAACAGACGCCCTCCAGCGACCTACACGCAGAGGCAGGGCCAAATCGAAAGCTGAGCCCCTGTGAGCTGTGAGAACAAAGAAGAAAAAGGGAAATCTCTCCCAGCAGCCTCAGAAACAGCGGATTAAAGCTACACAATCAATTTGATGTACCCTGCCTCTGTGGAATACATGAATAGACAGCGAATCATCCCAAATTGAGGAGGCGGACTTCTAGAGCAAGATCTATGATTTTTTCCCCTTTTCCTCTTTTTGTGAATGTGTATGTGTATGCTTCTGTGTGAGATCTTGTCTGTATAGGTTTGCTTCCACCATTTGTCCCAGCGTTCTATCCGACCATTTTTATTTTCTAATTTTTTTCTTAATAATTAATTTTAATTTAAAGAACTCTATTATACTTTACCTTCTTTCTATCTTTCCTTCCTTCCTTCCCTCTTTTAGACAACGAATCATCCCAATTTGAGGAGGTGGACTTGGAGAGCAAGTTTTATGATTTTTTCCCCTTTACCTCTTTTTGTGAGGGTATATGTGTATGCTTCTATGTAAGATTTTGTCTCTATACCTTTGCTTCCACCATTTGTCCTAAGGTTCTATCCGTCCCTTTTTTTTTTTTCTCTAAATAATTATTTTTTTAATTCAATAACTTTATTATACTTTATTTTATTTTACTGTATCTTCTTTCTTTCTGTATTTATTCCTTCCTTCCCTCCTCCCTCCCTCCTTTCTCTCCTTCTTGCCTTCTTTCTATCTTTCTTCCTTCCCTCCTTCCTTCCTTCCCTCCCTCCTTTCTTTCTTTCTTTCCTATTTCCTCCTACTTCTACTAATTCTCTCTACTTTCTCTCCCTTTTATTCGGAGCCGAGTGGATTAAAGCCTCTTGCTGCTCCAGCCAGGAATCAGGACTCTGCCTCTGAGGTGGGAGAGCCAACTTCAGAACACTCGTCAAGAAGAGACCTCCCAGCCCCACATAATATCAAACGGCGAAAATCTCCCAGAGATCTCCATCTCAACACCAGCACCCAGCTTCACCCAACGACCAGCAAGCTACAGTGCTGGACAACCTATGCCAACCATATAGCAAAACAGGAACACAACCCCACCCACTAGCAGAGAGGCTGCCTAAAATCATAATAAGTCCACAGACACCCCAAAACACACCACCAGACGTGGACCTGCCCACTAGAGAGACAAGATCTAGGCTCATTCATACACCACAACACAGGCACTAGTCCCC